GTCGGTGAATTCGAGTTCGGTGTAATCGAAGTGCGTGGTGTACCTGGTTGGTTATGAGAGTAATTTGATGGATTTGGGCTAGGATCCGATGTTTGTGGAGAAATGGGCTGAGGTGCTTCGGCCCAACTGTTGTTTTGTGGTGATCCGGGTTCTTGGTATGGGGTATCGGGTACCCATTCACCCTCATCATCAAAATACTCATCAGCGAAATCATACCCTTCGACGGTGAACGACAGGTCTGATGTCGCTTTGATCTTGGTAGTTTTCTCCCACTCCCATCTCCGATTCTCTTCAAAAATTACGTCCCTGCTTACAAACATTTTTCCCGTGTCAGGGTCTAGCAATCGATGAGCTTTCATGCCCTTTTCTGTCCCTAAATAAACCATTTTCATGCTCCGATCATCCAATTTCTTGAGATTGCCCTTCATTATCTTCATATGTGCTACACACCCGAAAACTCTCAGGTGACTGACCTGAGGTTTTCTTCCCGTCCACATTTCGTATGGTGTAGCATCCTTGAGAGCTTTTGTACCCAATCGATTCAACACATACACTGCGTGGCTCACGGCTTCTCCCCACAGTACATCAGGTACTCCCATTGTCTTTAGACAACTTCTCACCATCTCTAGTACAGTCCGATTTCTCCTCTCCACAACCCGATTCTGCTGTGGTGAGTAGGGTGAGGTATAATGACGCTCTAACCCAGTTTGACTGCAGTATTCAGTGAATTCCTTTGACAAGAATTCACCCCCTCTGTCTGTTCTGAATACTTTTAGCTTTTCCCCTGTTTCATTCTCAACCAGCCTTCTGAAATTCTTAAAGATATGAAAAGCTTCATCCTTGGTCTTCATTAAATAAATCCACATTACCCTGCTGTAATCATCAACTAACAGCATAAAATATCTGTTACCTGCAGGTGTTGGAGGTGAGACAGGACCACACAAGTCCCCATGAATTAATTCCAGTTTCTTCTTGGCTCTAAAACTGGTGACAGTTGGGAATGGGCTCCTTGGTTGTTTTCCCAGCAAACAACCTTCACATGGTTCTGTTGGTACTGACATCTTGGGTATTCCAATTATCAAGTCCTTTTCAGACATAGACTTAAGAGAGGTAAAGTTTACATGACCTAGTCTTGTGTGCCACAACCAAGTTGGATCATTTAATTCAGCTACTAAACAGCTTGTATTTACTTCTTCTAGCTGAATTTTGTAGAGCCTGTTGGGTGACTTCTTGACTTTCATCAATAGCTTTCCAGCAGAGTCATGCACCCACAAGAATGGTTCCCTGATCTTAATCTCATCACCTCCTTCAGACAACTGGCCAAGACTAATGATATTGCTACAAAGATCAGGTATGTAGTACACCTCCTTCATCTTTCTTTCTTCTCCATTCTTGCATTGGAGCAGAATTGACCCCTTCCCTTCTATTCTGACTTGGGAGTCATTTCTAAATTTCACAACTCCTTTGACACTACTATCCAGTTCTTGAAATTTGGTTCTGTCCCCAGTCATGTGGTTGCTTGCCCCAGTGTCAAGATACCACAATTTTGACTATTTCAAGTCCCCACCTTTTGGTTTTAATTCAGGCTTCACTCTTTCTTCGTTTAGAAATACTTCTCCTTCATTTCTCTTGTCTTCTAGCCATGACAGCAACAAAGCTGGTTCATTGTCACATTGGACCAGGTTGTTTTCTTGATTCCTCTCTTTTTTTGGGTTTGAGCACTCGGCTGCATAATGCCCAAACTCTTGGCAGTTATAGCATTGTATGCTACTTTTGTCATGGCTGGTAGATGCACCATGACTTCCACCTCTTCCACGGCCACCACGGCCTCTACCCCTGCCTCTTCCTCTTCCACGTGAGCCACTAAGTCCACCACGGTTTGACTTAGACTTTGAGTAACCTTCTCTCTTCTTTTTACTTTTCTCAGACCATTCTTGATAGGTCATGAGAAGCTTTTTGTCTTCTGGCTCACCACCATGACCTCTCATTCTTTCTTCATAGGCTTTGAGTCTCCCCACAACTTCTTCAACTGACATATCTTCTATGTTCCCAAATTGCTCAATTGTTGAGGCAATTTGGAGAAACTTGGGTGGTACTGCTCTCAGCAGTTTCTTTACAATATAGGATTCTTCCAAAGTGTCACCAAGGGTACGCATAGTACTCACTATATTGCTAACCTTCGCGGCAAAGTCATCCACCCCTTCTATCTCTTTCATGGTCATGGCTTCAAACTCTGTTTTCAGAGTTTGAATTCTTGCTGTCTTCACTCTATCTGCCCCCATATATAGAGTCTTCAAAGCGTCCCACATGTCTTTTGCAGTCTTCTTCTCGGCCAGTGAGAGTAGAAGATCTTCTGGTATGCCTTGATAGATTGCAGCCATCGCCATTTTGTCTTTCTTTGTTTCCACCACTGTGTTTGATGTCCTCGGTTCCACTGCATCCCATACTCCTTGGGCTTGCATGAAAACCTTCATTTTTATGGCTCACGCACCATAATTACTTCGTGACAACATAGGATAGTGAAGAGTAACATTCCCTTCCTTCTCACCATTGTTTCCTGACATCTCTATTACACGAGGCTGATACTTTGGCATACACCAGGAAAGCCAAGCTCTGATACCAGATGTTGGTTTCTTGCAGGGGCAGCAAATACCTTTTTTACCACAATAAGAAACAAGGGACAGGAAAGAAGTCTGCACAGGGGACAAAAACAGATAAAAGACAGGAAGGGCAAAACTGGAATAAAGAGCCTTCTGAGAAAGCTGCACAGCACAGAGGACAAGTGAAGGCACGGAGGATATTTGAGGCAAAGTACTTTTATTCACTGATCAAAATGAGAAAACAAGCTGGATACTACACAACGTACATATGCCTTGCTATTTAATCTAGGAACTTAGCACAAAATTAGGAACTAACTGGCTACATGCTAAAGACCAGGAATCATCTTCACACGTGGTCTTGAATTATTCAACTTCTAATTAAACTAATAAAACATGCATGATAAATAAACTTAGATGAATTTCTGAATTATTTTCAACAATATACACTTCGTTGAGTTCTCGACGCTGACCATTCTTGTATTTAAAAATGATAGAACCCCTTCCGTTTATTTGAACTCTAGACCTATTGCCAAACTTGAAAAAATCATTAACCGAGTCATCAAGTTTTCTAAACTTAGCCCTTTCATCGGCCATGTGGTTGTTAGCCTCATTGTCAAGACACCATATCTGGTTTGGCACTTCATCTTCCTGTCTTAGCCTTGCATTTACTTTTCTTTGTTTAGCATGAATTCATCTTTCATATTTTTATCATGCAATGTCGTGAGTAACAAGGATGGTTCGGCATAATTGTGATCTTGGGTTAGAATCACGTCTTGATTCCTTTCTCTTGGTGGGTTCTTGCATTCGGAAGAATAATGCATCTATTCTTAGCAATTATAATATTGTATCTTGCTTTTGTCATGTTTTTGAGTTTGATTTTACCCATGATTACCTATGTTTTAGTGATTTCCTCCATATCTTCCTACCTCTTCCTCGACCCCCATGGTTTCTTGAGTTGTTCCTTCGCGTGTTCTTTGATCCTTGCCCGCCTGTTTGCTTCTTGTTCATTCTGGCCATTCTTCATGAGTTAAGATAAACTTTTTCTTATCCATCTCATTATGAACATGAATGTGTACTTCATGCGCTTTGAGTCTTCCAACTACTTCTTCAATGGGCATGCTTTCAAGATCAACAAATTGTTTGATAATATATGCGATCTGAAAAATACCACTCGTAATATCTTCTTTACCACATATGCTTCATCTATGTTATTGCCCAATGCCCAAATATTACTCACGGTATTGCTGATTTTTGTGGAAAAAAAATCATCAATTGACTCGGACTGTTTCATGGTCAAAATTTCGAATTCAACTTTTAGAGATTGTACCTTTGCTCTCCGAACGCGACCCTCACCCATATACATGGTCTTCAGTGTTTCCCACACTTCTTTTATCATTTGCTTCTTCGCTATCGGCAATAATATCTCTTCCGAGATGGCAGCCATTGCCATCTTGTCCTTGACACCAACTGCATTTTGGGGATTCTTAGGCTCACTCGCATCCCATACTTCCTGATGTAGACTTCCATTTTAATCGCCCATGTCGCATATAGTTACACAGGGTAATGCATCTTCCGTCCTTCCATAGTGGGATTTCAGCCGAACGGCTTGGTTGGCTCTGATAGCAAGTGAAAGGTAATAATCTGGTATTACCTTGGTTCCAAAGGTACAAGTGGAGTAACAGAGGAAAGAAAGAACATAGGAAATACAGGAATAACAGTAAAGAAAAGAGATTGTAATTACTTGTTAAACAAGATCTTTATTGCTGGAAAAAATAAAATAACGTAAACTTAATCCGTATTTTAACTAATTAAACCAGAAACCTAAACCAAGACAAAAAGTACTGTAAAAAATGGAAAGTTTTCCAAAACGCCATGGGGCATTTTTTCGTAAATTACGCCAACAAAACCAATAATATACAGTTGATATAAAACCAACAATATACAGTTGGTATCTAACCTGTTTTAAAAAAGAGCAGCTGTTGTACACATAATTATTTTAATTTGAAATGGAAGGTTTTTATTAGTGATGAACATCGACAGACAAATTATGAAACTTCATAATAGCACAAACCTAAGCAGGCTTAGCATGACAAAAGTGACCGTGTACCAATACAGTCAGAACTCATCCACAAAATATACAACACACCTACTTTATAGTTCATACCACATTATTTGACTCGATCAACAATTATTTTAATTATTTTATTCTTCATGGAAAACAACACATGTCATACTATATTCAAGAATTTGATTAGTTATATACATATAGTTAAGAGTAAACTTATAATTAAAAGTATAATACATGGTCCTATACATAAAAGGATATTATAAAACATTTCAAAAGCAAGAAAACTAATTACTATACCTAATAACATGTAGAAAATGAAATATTTGTAATTGTCAAGCACATGATATACCGAGAGAAGTTGGCATAAACCGATCAGAACCCGTTCTTGTGATCAATAACTTCATGTCTGGTGAAAGCCGATCAAACTCCGGCATGGTCTCCGGCACCTCTGGTATGGTGGAGAGAGCAGTTGAAGTATCATAGACGTAAAAACCTTCACCTCTTGATGAGGTATGGTGGTTATGTCTAGGCCGGAAAACTGATCGGATTAGCTTGTTGAGGGAGCGGCTGAGTCTGAAGGGTTTCTTGGAGGTGGGTTTGTGATCGAAAGGTGGTGGTAATTGGTGGCGGAGGGAGGAGGAGGAGGACGACGACGAGAGGTGGGGCATTGACATGGTTCTGGAGGATATTGCAGAATCAAGCTGTCGTTCGAAAGATTTGAGTTCAAAAGAGTCGTATAGAGAGCTTTCGCAGTCCCATACTTCACGTTTGGGGTTGGCTTTCAGGGATTGTGTCACTTTCTCCATCTTTCCTCTTTCCGTTTCTTCAAAAAATGTGACCTAAAGAAAAAGGATTCATGTCCTTGAAAATTAATTATATAGAGAGATAGAGGAGAGAGAAAGTACATGGTTGTATACTTTCTTATGGTATGATCATATGATAATTGTATTCATCACTTGATCTGTTAGTTATATAAAATGAATGATGTACGCGTGGACCAATGATCAAGTTACTAACCGACGATAATTGTTGAATTCTACTTTAAAACGTAAATCTTTTTATATTTAGTTTATTCGAGACACATATATTATATAGGTTAATTTAATTTAATTTAATTTAATTTATATATATATATATATATATATATATATATATATAGGGTTGAGATCGGTTGAGTTTTTAATTTTTTATATGCAGAGTTTTTAATTTTTTATAGAAAACATGTATTTTTGAAAAAAAATTGAAAAAATATTTTTTTTTAAAAAACTACAATTTTTTAAAAAAAACTGCAATTTTTTTTTAAAAAAACTGCATTTTTTAATAAAAAAACTACAAGTTTTTTAAAGAAAGTTACATTTTTTTCAAAAAAACTGTATTTAAAAAAAAACTGCATTTTTTTTTAAAAAATAAAATTTTAGGTGCATATATGCATATTTTTTCAAATGCATATATTCATATTTTTTATACTATAATATTCGTAAGTAGATCATAAAAAAAACTCATTTTATTTACAAATCTATAAACATAATAGAATAAGTATTTTATTCGATACAAAAAAAAATATTAAAAACAAAAAAAAAATGTACCAAATTTCAAAGCGTTTTTATGTCTTCGTCTCAATATTTCCATATTTTTCTTCAATATATCATCTTCACCTTTTCAATATTCACCACAATTTCTTCCAAATCTACAAGAAAATTAAAAAAAAATTGATTGATGCAAAAACACTTACAAAAATACATATGTGATTAACATATGAATCATAGACGATTCACGTATGAATTACATATGATGTATATGTGAATTACACGTGATTTACATGTGAATCTCATGTAATTCATATGTGAATTACATGTGATTTACATGTGAATCACATGTAATTCATATGTGAATTACATGTGAATTATATGTGAATTACATGTGATTTACATGTAATTCATATGTGAATTACATGTGATTTACATGTAATTCATATGTGAATTACATGTGATTTACATGTGAATCACATGTAATTCATATGTGATTTACATGTAATTCACTGTGATTTACATGTGAATCGCATGTAATTCATATGTGATTTACATGTGAATAACATGTAATTCATATGTGATTTACATGTGAATCACATGTAATTCACATGTAATTCATTTGTAATTTACATGTAATTCATATGTAATTCACTTGTGATTTACATGTGCATCACATGTAATTCATATGTGTTTCACTTGTGATTTACATGTGAATCACATGTAATTCATATGATTGAAACTAGGTAATTTTTTAAATTTATATTGAAACTAGGGAAAAGCTTACTTTATAGGCATGATTTGCTACATTAATTTTGAAAATGGTTCTTACAACTCCAACTGAAAATACAAAATCCAAGTTTTTTTTTTTTTTTTTTGAAAAAATCTTGGATTTTTGTTTCATAATAATACAACATTTAGAATATCATGAGCCTAAAAAAAGGAATTTCATCAAATAATCATGATTTTATTGTAATAAAAATATGTTTTAGGTGTAAAAAGTAAAAGTTGGATTGTACCATTGATTTTAAGTGTAGCTCCCAATCACTGACATCTGATCGTGATCCAAATGCCAATAGAGACTTCTCATGAATTTCGGTAACACTTCTACCTAAGCTCAGAGCATTTTCACCCTCATCAGCCACATAAAAGAAAAGATGTGCAGCATTTGGCATTTCTTCACTCAATCTGAAAAAAACAACAACAAAGGAGAACAATACATGGTAAATTGCATGCAGTGGTGGAAATTGGAATTCAGTGGAGGAAATAGTGTAGGAAACATTGATCTAATTCAGCAATACCAACAAAAAATCATTTCAGGAAACAGGTAGGGTTTATACTTTTTCAGATTGCACTCCAACTCGAAAAGCTCGGTCTCCTCCATAGCCACTTCCATCTACCTTGGATTTCAAGAAACTTGTGGTTAATGTCATGCCATGATCAATTAGAACCGGTTGTCCATAGTCTCTTCCATTATGTTTATTCCAACCATATGTTTGAAGATCATCTGCATCTTGGCAGACATGTCGCATAAAATATCGTCCATCCTTTATACCAAGCCACATCAATCTAGCAACCAAAGATTCTGGAGTCCTAGCAAGGACAAATGATATCATATATCATAAATGTTTAAACTACATAAACATCAGAAGCTTGTTATTAAGCATTGATATAACAATGAATTACACTTGAACCACCATGTATCTGTAAAGGCATTTCAAGCCCTTAACGAAGGAAATTTGTACAGGTTTTTCGTTCTTGAGAAGATTCAACAGCACAGACGCAACCTGGAAAACCGAAGAAGCATTATATAATCAAACTCAAGTAGCATTACAATGAAACTGGTGTATAAAGAATCTGGAATCAACAATCGAAGCTTGGATTAACAATGAAGAAGATGAACTAATGAAAACAATAATCAATAAAGTGAAAACGAGAATGCAAGTGAAGCATTACCTGAAAGTGAGATCTGCCGCCATGAACGGTGGAAAAGAAGAAAACAAAGATTCAGTTCAGCTAGGGATGGTGTTATTCGGGGAAATCGGAATCTGGATGTGTAACAAGCTCTTAGGTTACGACACTAGGAAGAATGATTAACTTCGATTGCGTGCCTCCGGTTGAAATATGTAGTGATTATTTTTGAAATCGACAATGATTGTGGTCGATTGTCAATCTTCATCGTGTGAGTTGTGGATTAGGGCAGATTGTGGACCGAGATTGGGATCAAGAGATCGGTAATTCAATCGATTTTCGAACCGATTGTCAGATTTAAGGCCGAGATGAAAATCAGTTGTCGGAGATGATGCAGAGATCGATCGTCGGCGATGTTGAGAGAACGAGAGGTGGAGACGGAGGAGACGACGTCTAAAGTCTGAGAAACTGTGATAGAGAGAATTGTTTTTTCTTATACCTAAATTACCCCTCTAATTTGTTTTTTAAAACCAAATATGCCATTACAATTGCGAATAATTACAAAAATGACACCTTTAATCTTAGCCTTTAGTTTTTTTTGATCTTACGGTCCACTTTTAGTTCTCGGGTTCTCGGGAAACTTTAAGTTCTCAAATAATCCTTCCTCTATATATATATATATATATATATATATATATATATATATATAGGAGGGTTCAATTGAAAAAAAAGGTTGAGAATGGGGGAATCATTTTTAGCCACACATTTATTTTGCCGCAAAACACTTAGGCGTACCGTCGCAAATGGACAACGGATAAACATGTGTTTTCCAACCAAACATGTTTCATTAAACTATGCTAATCATTACCTTAATATACACAAAAACATATTTTTTTTTTTTTTTTTTTTTTTTTTAGAAAGCCATTTTTATCGAAAAATTATTTTAAATATATCAAAATTCATAATTTTTTATTCTCTATAAATAGACATCCATATTGATATAGTTTTAAGATAAAATAAAAAATTTATTTTTTTAGAGTTTCAGCTCTCGTTATTCATAAGTGAATAAAAATCTATCAGATTTTTATTACGGTACATTCGTTATTCACTTATGAATAAAATGTATGCTTAATTTTTTTTATATAGTTTAAGTATCATTCATATATAAATATGACACGTAATAAAGTTTTCTTACTTAAAATATATTTTCTACATCATCTTTTGTCATATATTATATTTATATATGAATAAAACGTGTATTAGTTGTCGTCATATTTTATATTCATATATAAATAAAACATTTATCAGATTTTTGTTACAGTTAATTTGTTATTCATATATGAATAAGTAGTATAAATGATACTTAAACTGTAAAAAAAATTAATTATATATTTTTATTCATAATTGAATAACGAATGTACTGTAGCAAAAATCTGATACATTTTTATTCACTTATGAATAACGATAGCTGAAAATATAAAAAAAATTATTTTATCTTAAAAGTATATCAATATGGATGTCTATTTGTAGAGAATAAAAAATCATGAATTTTGGTATATTTAAAATCATTTTTCGATAAAAATAGCTTCTTAAAAATTAAAAAAACGAAAAAAACTATGTTTTTGTATATATTAAGGTAATTATTAGCATAGTTTAAGGAAATATGTTTTGTTGGAAACACATGTTTATTCCTTATCCATTTCCGCTGGTATAAGGGACGCTTTTGCGGCAAAATAAATGAGTGGCTGAGAATGATTCTCATATTTTCAACATTTTTTATTTTCTCAATTGAACGTACCTCTCTATATATATATATATATATATATATAATATATATATATATATATATATATATATATATATTATATATATATATATATATATATATATATATATATATAATATTTGAGAACTTTGAATTTATAAGAAAAATAAAGAATAATGAATTTATAACTGAAATGTTTTTATCTTTTAAATTTAAATAAATAAACAAAAGAAAGTAATGAGCTTTAATTTGAGAATTTTAAAATTAAAAGGTAACTTCATTAATGAAGTTGATATCCATTTATTGTAATTAATATATTAAAATATTATGTGGAATTTAATAAAATAGAAAAAACTAATTAAATGACATGTGGAAAACAAATTAATTCAAAATAACCACAAAATGGCATTTGTCAAATTGAATGAGAGTGTAACATGTGGCAAAAAAACCTTCATTTATTAGAGTAGACTGAGAGCTTATCATGGGTGTTAGGAAGTGTCTAAGTATTTTTTTTATTTATTAGCTTATTAATTTATACTGATATTAAAATAATTTAAAAAAAAGGTATTTTGTACCATTTGATAAGTTAGTGAGAAATAATTTATCAAAAATGACAGCCCTATAATAACCACCCCCCACCCATCTCTTCCCTTTAAGATGTTCACTTGTCCTGTTCCCCGCCTTCTATCCCCCACACCCACCCCCCAACTGCCTCTCTTTCAAAACTAAACTCGGCTTTGCCGAAAATTGCAAGATCATTAACATATCTAAGATTTAAAGAACAAAAAAAAAACTTGACTTTGTGTAACATCCCGATGTCAATGTAATTTCAATTTCAACCCTACGTTTGAATAATATTGCATTTTAGCCATTGGGATTGAAAAGGATTGCAAAATGGCCCATAGTGGCAATATGGTAATTTGATCCAACTTTAGTACACTGAGCGTACGTTGTGTACGCTAGGCGTACTAAGGTGCGCCCTAGTAAGCTGGGCGTACACCTCGTACGCGGGGCATACGTGAAGAATGTGAAAACCCTAATTTTTAGGGTTTGGTCTATATATAAACCTCATTATACCCTCATGTCTCATTTCTTCATCAGCCTCCCTCTGTGAAAAACGACCCCAAGCAAACCCTAAGTGAGAAGAGTGCATTTTGAGCCCATTGGAGTGTTTTGGAGTTGTTCTTGAAGAAGAAGAAGGTGGTGAAAAGAGATTGGAGCCTGCAAGTATCTTGGATCTGGGATTTCCTTCTTGTTAGCAACCTCTAGGAGGTATAAAGTTTGCAACTTGCTCACTCCATCTTGAAGATCTATACATTTCTTCTTGTAAGACACTTTTGTCCCAATATGGTGATTCTTGAGCATGGCATGTTCTTGACCCAATAAGTTGTCCTTTCAGACCTTAGGAGATGTCTTAAGTCATAAAAATGTAGTCTTGATGGTTAGTTTTGCTCCATGCATGTTATGGAAGGTCTTAATGCATTAAGATGTTGAGATTTTGAGTTTTAAGCACTTAATGGACATGCAAAGTCATAAACTTGGAAAATTTATGACTCTTTGAGGATATTTTGGCCTTGGATCTGATTTTGGACATGAAGATCTGGAGTATTAAGCTCTTAATTAGGAAAGGGCTGAAGTGGCACGTATGCTAGGCGTACCAAGTGGTACGCTACGCGTACGTGGTCAGCACCCTGTAAGATGTTGAGATTTTGTGTTTTAAGCACTTAATGGACATGCAAAGTCATAAATCTGGAAACTTTATGACTCTTGAGGATATTTTGGCCTTGGATCTGATTTTGGACGTGAAGATCTGTAGTATTAATCTCTTAATGGGGAAAGGGCTGAAAAGGCACGTACACTGGGCGTACCAAGTGGTACGCTACGCGTACATGGTCAGCGTCCCGTAAGCTGGTCAACCACCGATTACACCTCGCATACAGAAGAGTACGCCCAGCATACTCAGCTGAGTCGACTCGATTGGGTTGGCTCGGTTGGGTTGACTCGGCTGGGTTGACTCGGCTAGGTGTTGACTTGACTTCTAACCGTTGACCAGGTTTGACCAAGGGTATTTTGGGAAAATATTATTAGTGGATAATGTTGTGACATTTAGGAGTTGGCTTGAGCCGATATTTGGGAGCAGAGTAGTGATCAACTATTCATCAGATTTTGAGGTGAGTTTTCCTTACTGTACTTACGGGTCGAAGGCACCAAGGCCGACTCATTGGATTAATATCATGTTATACATTGATTTATGATATGTTGAGTGTGGGTTTGAACTATATGATTATATGATAGTTTTTGATATGCGTAGAACGGTAGATCTGTAGGATTACTTGTGATTTATGGTTGCATGATTATCTGTCTGTTGATTTTGTTGTTATCTGTTATATGCCGAGATATTGTGATGGGTTGAGACTTTACTGCTTTGTACGGAATCAACAAACCGGGGGGGGGGGGGGAGGGGGATTCCAACCCATTGGCTTAGTGGACCTGAGGGTATTCCAGGCCGATGACTGATTGGGCCAGGGGTAATCCAGACCAATGGTTGTGGTCCCGAGGGTATGCCACTCAAATCACTGATTGGACCCAGCATGCTTGTTTGTATATGATATATGTATTGTGTTGTGGTACTTCGGGGGAAACTCACTAAGCGTTGGCTTACAGTTTTTGGTTATGGTTTCAGGTACTTCTGAGGATCGTGGGAAGGCGAAGGCGTGACCACACACATCCTACTTTTATGTTGTTGATCTTGGGAGACTCTGTTTTGAACAATGTTTTGAAAACAATGGTTTTGTAAAAAAAATTATTAGTAAATCGGTTTATTTGAAAAGTTTAAATTGGTTGAGATTATTGAGATGTTCTAAGTTGGTAACAGAGTCTTGGTTTGAGCGAATTAGAGGAACACTCATGTGAATCCAATATTAAACTAAGGAACTGCAA